AGGGTGGAGAAGTCCCCAAAGGGGAAAGTCCAATAAAATAACCTAACTATATACGAAGAATGTAAAACTATTGAACTAAAGAGGAGGAAAATGGGAATTATATACAGTTAAAAAGGGTCGAACACAATACTCTTAGGTGACTAAGACGACGTAGGAACAAAGGGTTCCAACTGTGGCCATGCAGCGGTAAAAGGGAACTGGAGCGGGGTTGACCCGTGCAGTATCTTAAAGCCTGGGATGCGCCACTTGCCGACGCAAGACACACATGGTGGTGGTGGGGGGCAACGAACACTACTATGAACAGTTACAGCTCTGGCACATGGTGCGCATGCACACTAGCATTTGTAATTCATATAAGGACCAGCACTTGAAGAAGAATCAGGACTTCAAGGAAGATTACACAAAACCTGAGGAATATTTTTTTCCATATTCCTAAAAACATTTTTTCAGAGACTGTGTGTTGGGCTATTTACCAATAATGAAATTAAAGCATTAAAATTAAAATCTTCATAATAAAAAAACCAAAACATTGTATATAATAATTTTGAATTTAAACTATGGTAGATCTAAAAGCAAACTACAATCCTATAATTTAGGAGCTGATCATATAAATTGTTACTTACACAAGTAGTCCTATTCCACTATTGAACCAATGAAGAAATTAAATGTGTGTTATGAAACGGCTGAGACTGAGAGAAGACTGTTATTGCAAGAGCAATGACAAATTTAAAACAGGAGAAGACAGAAGAAAATTATTAACTGAAAAATATCTGATGTTATACAGATGGTGAAAAGCCTGTTTAGATCCAGCATGCAAATTATTTACAGGAATATGGCATAATTTTCAGCCATCTCACAGCTTTTCACAGAAGTAATTTAATATCAGAAAATAATACAGTAGATGTAATTAATTAATGCCATTACACATTATAAATGCATTTGTGAAAGGGTAAAATATAAATTGACAGAAAATCATAATGTTTTTTTCCTGTTCAAGTTCACTTTGTCTCTGTATATAACAGGTTTTAAAACCTCTTAGGAACTTCTTATGCAGGGGTAGTCAATTATTTTGTGTCATGGTCCACATTTCTTGGTCAAGGTACAGTCAAGGTGCTGACTCCAGAGAAAATAATATAAAAAACCCAATAATAATAAGTAAATAAAAGATTTCAGGGTCTGTTCTAAAGTCTCTGGCAGTCCGAATTTGCCCCACGGTCCGCCTATTGACTACCCCTGTTCTGATGCCTTGAAAGCTGAAGTGGTCTATCTGTGACTGAAACTCTTCTGAAAGTAGCAGTAAGACCAATGCAGAAGGAAAGGTCTAGAAGTGAAAGGTAAATACTGTAAGTGTAATGAAATTACAGGTAAAATTTTGCCCACGGATACTTCATTGTAGTCTAATGGGAACCATATTTGATCATCCAAGGGCAGAATCTGGTCCTATAGGTTTCAGGCTGGCAGCCTTTAAAATAGTTCTGATATGTGAAAATTATGTGTAATATCAGAAAAATCTTTAATTTTTCTCATTTTCTCTTGTCCTTCAATAACAAAAAATGAGTAAACTTTCAGTTTCATGTAAAGAGTATTTTACAAAATTAACCCCCCAACACAGACACAAATCTTGCAGTACGCACTGTTGATTAATGGAAATAACACACTTAGGTGACAGGTTTCAGAGTGGTAGCTGTGTTAGTCTGTATCAGCAAAAAGAAAGAGGTGTACTTGTGGCACCTTAGAGACTAACAGATTTATTTGGGCATAAGCTTTCGTGGGCTAAAACCCACTTTCAGATGCATGCAGTGGAAAATACAGTAGGAAGATATATATACACAGAGAACATGAACAAATAGGTGTTGCCATACCAACTATAATGAGACTAATCAATTAAGGTGGGCTATCATCAGCAGGAGAAAAAAACTTTTGTAGTGATAATCAGGGTGGCCCATTTCCAACAGTTGACAAGAAGGTGTGAGTAACAGTAGGGGGAAAATTAGCATGGGGAAATAGTTTTTACTTTGTGTAATGACCCATCCACTCCCAATCTTTTTTCAAGCTTAATTTAATGGTGTCCAGTTTGCAAATTAATTCCAATTCTGCAGTCTCTCATTGGAGTCTGTTTTTGAAGTTTTTTTGTTGGAGTACTGCGACTTTTAGGTCTGTAATTGAGTGACCAGGGAGGTTGAAGTGTTCTCCGACTCGTTTTTGAATGTTGTTATTCTTGACATTTGATTTGTGTCCATTTATTCTTTTACGTAGAGACTGTCCAGTCTGGCCAATGTACATGGCAGAGGGACATTGCTGGCACATGATGGCATATATCACATTGGTAGATGTGTAGGTGAACGATCCTCTGATAGTGTGGCTGATGTGATTAGGCCCTATGATGGTGTCACCTGAATAGATATGAGGACACAGTTGGCAACGGGCTTTGTTGCAAGGATAGGTTCCTCGGTTAGTGTTTTTGTTGTGTGGTATGTGGTTGCTGGTGAGTATTTGCTTCAGGTTGGGGGGCTGTCTGTAAGCAAGGCCTGGCCTGTCTCCCAAGATCTATGAGAGTGAGGGATTGTCCCTCAGGATAGGTTGTAGATCCTTGATAGAGAGGTTTTAGTTGGGGGCTGAAGGTGACGGCTAGTGGCGTTCTGTTACTTTCTTTGTTGGGTCTGTCCTGGAGTAGATGACTTCTGGGTATTCTTCTGGCTCTGTCTATCTGTTTCTTCACTTCAGAAGGTGGGTACTGTAGTTTTAAGAACGTTTGATAGAGATCTTGTAGGTGTTTGTCTCTATCTGAGGGACTGGAGCAAATGTGGTTGTATCTTAGAGCTAGGCTGTAGACAATGGATCATGTGATGTGTTCTGGATGAAAGTTGGAGGCATGTAGGTAAGTATAGTGGTCAGTAGGTTTCCGGTATAGGGTGGTGTTTATGTGACCATCGCTTATTAGCACTGTAGTGTCCAGGAAGTGGATCTCTTGTGTGGACCGGTCCAGGCTGAGGTTAATGGTGGGATGGAAATTGTTGAAATCATGGTGGAATTCCTCAAGGACTTCTTTTCCATGGGTCCAGATGATGAAGATGTCATCAATGTAGTGCAAGTAGAGTAAAGGCGTTAGGGGACGAGAGCTGAGGGAGTGTTGTTCTAAGTCAGCCATAAAAATGTTGTCATACTGTAGGGCCATGCGGGTACCCATAGAAATGCTGCTGACTTGAAGGTATACATTGTCCCCAAATGTGAAACAGTTGTGGGCGAGGACAAAGTCACAAAGTTCAGCCTCCAGGTTTGCTGTGACATTATCGGGGATACTGTTCCTGACGGCTTGTAGTCCATCTTTGTGTGGAATCTTGGTGTAGAGGGCTTCTACATCCATATTGGCCAGGATGGTGTTTTCTGGAAGATCACCGATGGACTGTAGTTTCCTTAGGATGTCAGTGGTGTCCCGAAGATAGCTGGGAGTGCTGGTAGCGTAGGGCCTGAGGAGGGAGTCTACATAGCCAGACAATCCTGCTGTCAGGGTGCCAATGCCTGAGATGATGGGGCGTCCAGGATTTCCAGGTTTATGGATCTTGGGTAGCAGATAGAAGACCCCTGCTCGGGGTTCTAGGGGTGTGCCTGTGCAGATTTGTTCCTGTGCTTTTTCAGGGAGTTTCTTGAGCAGATGGTGTAGTTTATTTTGGTAACCCTCAGTGGGATCAGAGGGTAATGGCCTGTAGAATGTGGTGTCAGAGAGCAGCCTAGCAGCCTCTTGTTCATATTCCGACCTATTCATGATGACGACTGCACCTCCTTTGTCAGCCTTTTAGATTATGATGTCAGAGTTGTTCCTGAGGTTGTGGTGCTTTAGCAACATTTGGTCCTGTTAATTATTAAATAAATCTATGCATAATATTATATCCAACATTACTTTAGAATAGCTAAATGCAAATCATCCACTGATTCACAAATTTTCCACCCTTTATGTTTTCAGAAACAACAATCTTCCACGTAAAATGAAGCAAATGCAGCAAATAAAAAAAAAATGGGTGAACTAATCCATTTAAAGTTAGAATCACAAAGTTCTTATAGGAGAGTTTAAACCAAATGTAGTTAACAATTCTGGGACAAAAATGCAGGCTTTAGAAGTAATTACAGAGGTTTTGCATCTAATTTCTGGGTTCCAAATCATTCATAAACAATTTTCAACCTTCCTAGACTACTATGTATAGTTTTGTTTTTTTAAAACCAGAAATATTGAAATATGGTATAACAATAAAGTCTCTTGAGCAGGAAAGACCATTTTACTTATGTGACGGGGTATATTGTAACATTGCTTTCGTAGTGGAAAATGGATGCACTGTTAAAATTAAGTTAGGATGGGTAGATCTAGTGTGTTACATTTGGCATTTCAGCCATCTAAAGCACGTAAGTGTCCAACTCATTTATCACTTTCAGAAATATTATTTTTTGACACTGTTGTCCAAAATGCAAGGCTATGAAATAGCTTGCTCAGAAGGTTCACATTCAAGGATTGATGAATATTACAGCTGTTTTTGGTGCAGGATGACAAATCAAAAGAAGCTGGTTGTTCAGCCAGCCAGCTGGTGTTAGAGAGAAGGAGAGTGATGTCTTTCAGGTTTCCTGGCTGGACACACATGGGGTGCAGTTCTGTCCCCTGCCCCCATTGAAACAAAATAAACCAGAAGCTGATATAAAGTGAACAAATCCTAAGATATATTTAATAAATAACACATTCTTATGGAACATCTAATAACCTATCCCTTATATGAAGATCAGAGTTACATAGTATAACAAACAGTAATAACCTCATTAGTTTTACTGGATGTGCTTATTAATTAAGGATTAACGTTCTCTGATTAAACCAGTGGTGATTTGGTACAAGCTAGATCCAGGGGTGGGGACAGAGGGAAGGTAAAGGAACTACACTGAATAAAAATGGTACCCAATAACCCCCCTTTCTCTCTGTCCTCAAGTTTAATGCATGCTGGACCATAATGTCAAGAACTTACCTGGTACAGGGTTCTTCCTGGAGTTTAAATTCTGAGACTCTGCATTCTCCTCCGGTTGCCCATCTGTTTCCACCTCTTCTTTCTTTTGAGTATCTTTTACAACTTCATTAAGGGTAGTTCTTCTGCTCTCCTCTCCATCTAAATCTCCCTGAACAGCAGGGAGGGCAATTGGAGATGGAAGAAGAAGAGGAGGAGGAAGAGGAGGGGAAGGAGGTGTTGTAGTAGTAACAGCAGCAGAAACAGGAATAGGAGGAGTTAGAGGAGGAGAGGGAGAGGTGGAAAGAGCAATGGAAGATGGTACACTTTCCACTTCTGCAGGAAGGCCTTCCAAAATCTCAAATTCAAGAGTCAATGGTGCAACTTCCTGTTGAACTATTTCTGCTATGCCATCTGTAGCAGTTACTTTTTCATTAACTCCATTAATTTCATTAATTAGATTAGTACTAGCAGTCACTGGAATATCACTAGTTGCTACAGTACTAGGCTCCTTGCACGTATCAGCATCAACCTCTTCTATTGGTGAAGGGTCTGATTCTTCTGTGCAGGGTGTGGCACTGGATATAGGCATTGTTTCCTCTTTCGGGGAAGTTAGTTCACAGCTCTCCTCTGAGTCAACTGTGAATGTAGATTTACTAGAAGCAGCAGCAGCAATAGGAACAAGAGGGACTGGTGATGCAGCAAGAGGAAGTTCTGGTGGTGGTTCCTCAGAGGCAGCCTCAGAGGTCTGGTCAGCTTGATCTTTTTTCTCCCCACTAGGCTCTGGTCTGAGGACTGGGGAAGGAGATTTTAATACTGAATCTGGTTTTGGCTTCTCTTCTAGGGAAGAAAAAAAAACAACATTACAAGGACAGATTACAGAGTAGCAGCTGTGTTAGTCTATATCTGCAAAAAGAACAGGAGGACTTGTGGCACCTTAGAGACTAACCAATTTATTAGAGCATAAGCTTTCGTGAGCTACAGCCCACTTCATCGGATGCCTAGAATGAAACATATAGTAAGAAGATATATATATACATACAGATAAGCTGGAAGTTTCCATACAAACTGTAAGAGGTTAATTAGTTAAGATAAGCTATTATCAGCACGAGAAAAAAACTTTTGTAGTGATAATCAAGATGGCCCATTTAGACAGTTGACAAGAAGGTGTGAGGATACTTAACTTAGGGAAATAGATTCAATATGCGTAATGACCTAGCCACTCCCAGTCTCTATTCAAACCCAAGTTAATGGTATCTAGTTTGCATATTAATTCAAGCTCAGCAATTTCTCCTTGGAGTCTGTTTTTGAAGCTTTTCTGTTGCAAAATTGGACAAAAGGACAGATTAGTTTACCAATTTAGTTTTAACTAGCCATGCTTAGGGTCCTTTTCACTGCTCCACTCTGTGTTCTGTCCATTATTCCAGGAGCTCCTTGGAAGAACTGCAGAAGCAGCAGCTAACCTTTAAATCTAAAGTGAGAACCAAGACTCTCGGGGAACTTTAATCTTTAATGGACAGTTGAAGTTTTAAGAACAAAAGTCTTTTCAAGAAATCACCCTTTTCTTGAGCAAAGCATACTTAGAAACCTTAACTACAGAAGACAGGTTTGTTAATTCTGGAAACCTACAGAGATTTTGTTGCTCAAAACAGGACTCTTCTTCCTAAAAATGACAATGAACACAAAACAAAAATAAACGTAAGTTAAATTCTAGGGAAGAGGACAGAATGGCTTAGTGGACGGCGTGTAACACTGAGACCCAGGAACTACAACATTCTGAAATTCATTCTAAAAATGAATCCCTCTGTGACCTTGAGCAAGTCACAACTCTAACTTTCTCTATTTGTAAAATGGGAATACTACTATTTGCCAACCTGAGTAGACTGTTGTGATGATTAGTAATTTGTTTATTGCTTTAAGGATGCAAAACAGCATGCTATTATTAAGAAGTGAGATAATTTGACAAGCAATCATAGAATCATAGAATCTCAGGGATGGAAGGGACCTCAGGAGGTCATCTAGTCCAACTCCCTGCTCAAAGCAGAACCAAGCCCCAACTAAATCATCCCAGCCAGGGCTTTCTCAAGCCTGATCTTAAAAACTTCTAAGGAAGAAGATTCCACCACCTCTCTACATAACGCATTCCAGTGTTTTACCACTCTCCTACTGAAAAAGTTTTTCCTAATATCGAACTTAAACGTCCCCCACTGCAACTTGAGACGATTACTCCTTGTTCTGCCATCTGGTACCACTGAGAAAAGTCTAGATCCATTCTCTTCGGAACCCCCTTTCAGGTAGTTGAAAGCAGCTATCAAATCCCCCCTCATTCTTCTCTTCCACAGACTAAACAATCCCAGTTTTCTCAGCCTCTCCTCATAAATCATGTGTTCCACTCCCCTAATCCTTTTTGTTGCCCTCTGCTGGACTCTCTCCAATTTTTCCACATCCTTCTTGTAGTGTGGGGCCCAAAACTGGACACAGTACTCCAGATGAGGCCTCACCAATGTCGAACAGAGGGGAACAATCACGTCCCTTGATCTGATGGCAATGCCCCTACTTATACATCCCAAAATGCCATTGGCCTTCTTGGCAACAAGGGCACACTGTTGACTCATATCCAGCTTCTCGTCCACTGTCACCCCTAGGTCCTTTTCTGCAGAACTGCTGCTTAGCCATTCGGTCTCTAGTCTGTAGCGGTGCATGGGATTCTTCCGTCCTAAGTGCAGGACTCTGCACTTATCCTTGTTGAACCTCATCAGATTTCTTTTGGCCCAAACCTCTAATTTGTCTAGGTCCCTCTGTATACTGTCCCTACCCTCCAGCGTATCTACCTCTCCTCCCAATTTAGTGCCATCTTCAAACTTGCTGAGGGTGCAATCCACACCATCCTCCACATCATTGATGAAGATATTGAACAAAACCGGCCCGAGCACCAACCCTTGGGGCACTCCGCTTGATACCGGCTGCCAACTAGACATGGAGCCATTGATCACTACCCATTGAGCCCGACAATCTAGCCAACTTCCTATCCACCTTATAGTCCAACAATAATAAAACAAACTATATTTCTAAATTCCTCAGACCTTCAGGATATCAGAAAAGACTTATTACACTCTACCCTTACACTTTTGTTTTAAATTCTAGCAGTGAAAATTAAAATTTATCCCACGTAAAACTGAAAATGAAGGGGATTTAAGTATGGTTTCCTCTGAAGAGAGGTTCTATTTCATTTTGAGGTATGCTAGTGAAAGAGATCAGGTTGGGTTGGAAAAAGTAAGGTGAATTACCATATCATAATGCATTATTCGAGACGTGTGGTCCCTATGGGTATTTACTGTGGTTGCACACGCACCCTATGTGCCTGTGACCAGAAGATTTTTCAGTAGCAGTTGGTCCATACCTGTGCCCTATACCTCCCTGTGGCCTGAACCAAGGGCATAAAAGGCACCAACCACCTCCCCAGTTCCTACACTACAGTGAATAAAGTGAAGATTCAAGCAGAGGGGATGGAGGGCAGGTCGTGAATACCCACAGGGACCGCACAGCTCCAACTCCAGTTACTATAAGTTTTTTTTTGTTTTTGAGTGCTTGTACCTAAGGGTGTTTACTGTGGGCGACTCCCAAACAATACTCATTGAGGAGGAGGGTGTGAGGAAGTATGTTACACCACAGATAGAAAGATCGTTGAACCAAAGGAGGAATCCATGGATGAAGCTTGAACAAGGACATAATGTCTAGTAAGAGTGTGTATTAAGCCCCATTTACTACTCTACAGATTTCTAAGAGGGGAATTCCTTGCAGGGAAGCCACCAAGGTGGCCTGTGCTCTGGTTGAGCAGCCCTGACACCTGTAGGGAAAGGACTCCATGAGCTCATAGCAAAGGAGGATGTAGCACAAAATCTATTTAAAGGGTCTTTACAAAGAGACGGGTTTCCCCTTCATTTGCTCGGTAATGGAAACAAAGTGTCTAAGACTTCCCAAAGGGCTCTGTCCTTTCCAAGTAGCAGACCAAAGCTCTGTGGACACCCAGTGAATTCAATCTTCTGTATCCTTGTTGATGTGAGATTCTGGGTAGAAAAAGAGGAAGTGGACAGTTCGATTCAAGTGAAAATCAGAGGGAACCTTAGGGATGAAATCTTAAGGACACTTTATCCCTATGAAAGATTAAGTAGGGAGAGTCCGCCATGAGGGCCCTGAGCTCACCCATTCTCCTGGCAGACGTGATTGCTGGTAGGAAGGCTGTTTTCATAGAAAGGTGTAAAACAGAAGAAGTGACCAAAGGCTTGAATGGCAGGTTCATAAGCACTGACAGTATCAAGTTCAGATGCCAGGCAGATATAGGTTTTAATACCAGGGGAAAGGTTCTGATGATACCTTTTACGAACCCCAGAGCTGTAGGATAGGTGAAAACAGAGCAGTTCTCCACCAGGGGATGGAAGGCATTAGTAGCCGTTAAATGTATGCACAGTGAACTAATGGAAAGACACAATGCCTTTATGGAAAGAAGATAGTGCATAGAGGGCCCCAGGTTCCTCTACAGGTAAGTGACATTGCTGACAGCAGAGGGAGAAACGCTTCCATTTGGCAGTATAATACTTCCTTGTAGAGGATTCCCTATTTTTATTAAGGATGGATTGGATCTCTTCTGAACATGATCTGTTTGTTTTCCATTCGAAATCTTGGGATGGACTTGGATAGTGTAAAGAACTGCTTTTGGGCAACTACATGACAGCGTATGACCATTTGGGAACTACACTCAGGGACTAGTCTAGCACCTCTATTCATTAACACATGGAACAAGACCAAAACCAGTCTACCACCAGGAGAAATCATTTTTACAAAACTATTAAAAAGTGGATATTTTGAAATACTAAATTTATTCATTATGAATCATTAAGAAATAAATGGGATCTCCAAATGCTGGAATAGCCAGAAGTAAAATGTTTCAGTGCTCCTATCAATAGTGCCTTCACTGTGCTTTGCAGTGCTACAGTTCTGAAATTGCATTATGTTCCCTCAGAATAAAGATAGAATTAGATATGACCAAGGATAATGGAAAATTTGTTACCCAACAATTTCCTTTCTGGGGACGGATCTCTCCTGCAATTGGAGACACTCAAGCTAGACTTCTTTTCCTAAAATATACAGTTCAGACTTGTCCATGAGGTTCCAGGGCTCAGCCTTACCTTCATGTAGGCAAAAAAGCCTATGGCAGGCTAGGAGAATAATTTATTCCTTTAGAGAAGTATTTCATCTTGTTTAGGAGATGCCATTCATAAGCCACACTGTCAGGTTCAAATAATAGATAAAAGAGGAGATTTTGTCTAGGATAATGAGAATGGCCATAGCTTCCTCTTTCTTGATCTTTGGAATTACTTTTCCTAGTAGCAGAACAGGAGGGAAAGCATATAGAAACAGGTTTCAGAGTAGCAGCCGTGTTAGTCTGTATTCACAAAAAGAAAAGGAGGACTTGTGGCACCTTAGAGACTAACCAATTTATTTGAGCATAAGCTTTCGTGAGCTACAGCTCACTTCATCAGATGCTGGAGTGCAAGGGCTGGCTGAGCCTGGAGGAGGTGGTGCGCCTGCTGAATGGCAATGAGTTTGGTCATGGAGGAGAATCCTGCCTGGGAGGTGCAGCGTGTCATCTTAGCAGTCTTCCTGGGAGGCTGCACCTTTTCTGAGATCTCTGCTCTCCGATTCCTGGGGAAGGAGAAAGGATACAAGTTTATACTCCTGACGACAGCCATCGCAAGCAGCGCCCGGCTGATGGACGCCATGTTAGAGGCGAAGGTGTGAGGCAGGGGTGAGCTGCGGCCCTGGCAGAGCAGCTTGTGCCA